CCCCCAGGAACCCCCCCCCCCCCGCCCTACCCTAGTTAGCGGTGATGATTTTAAAAGCATGCGATGATCTAAGCCCTAATACTAATATTATGCATCATTTGGACAGGATAACCATGCCACCTTGTCAAACGCTGCCTCTTTACACAACCCATTTGCTGCATCGCAGAGTCATAACGGCGGTGATGGATGGGCCGGGGACCCCCCCGGCGCGGGGAGGAATGCGGGCGGGCCGAGCCCCCCGCGCCCCCGCCCGGCCCGCACCCCGCCGGCGACAATTTATAGTCTGTATATATTTGCTGGCTCCAGATATCGGCAACGTAATGGATGGTTATATTTTATGAATCCGAGGCTCGGATCTAGGGACTTCGGAGTCCCTTCCTTGTATGGTGCACTCCTGTCTCGTCCTTAATCCGCCCGGCAGGCAATAAACTTCCCGGCTAAATGCGCCGGGAGATAACGGCCAACTTTTATTGATTACAAGAAAATGCTCCAAACTAAATAAAGGGCTTTTATGAGGATCCCTGCGAAGAGCCTTTTCTCCGCAACCATTAAGCTCAATATCGACGTTTTACTGTGTGTAAACTGTGAACTCCTGGAGCTATAAACGCAGGAGCGGGTGCAAGGCAGACGAGAAGCGAAAGGCACCGGGGATGTTTGCCGGGGGGAGCCGGGCTCGGAGGTGTCGCCGGGCTGCAAACCTGCAGGGTGCCCGGCCACCCTCCGGGCTTCCTCTGGGTCCCTCTCTCCCCTCCCTTGATGCGGGCATCGGGCCGGGAATCGCTCCCAAACCTAAAAGCAGGGAGCGCTGGGGAGCAGAGAGAGAGAGATGCTGAGCAGGGGAAGGGCGGAAAATCATCTGAAGGGTTTGGAGGAGGACCTCGGAGAAGTTATTGCCCAGGAGTACCTGTGTGTGTGTGGGGGGAGGAGATGCGTTTTTAAATAGATGATCGTGGGATGTTGCTCCCTGTTTCCACGGACCTGGGTGGCGAAGGTGTGAGGAGAGAGGGGAATTTATTTGGGGTATTTCTGTCCCCCCCCCCGACTTCTTTATAGTCTCGGAGGTGTAAGGGACGTTACGGTTTCCGCCTGGAAAAGGGATGATATTGGGAGGGAGGGGGGTCCGGCACTAAGCAGCCGGGCTCTGCCCCAGGGCAAGGCAGGGACTCTCCTGGGGGCGCTTCTGTCCCGTCCCCCCCCCGGGGGCTGCATCCCCTCCCCGCCACAGCCGAGGGCATGGAGCCCTTCGGGGGAAAACGGTTTATTATTATTACACGGGAGGGGGAGGTTGCCAAAGGTATCACGCAAAAAAAACCCTGCCCGTGGCAGGATCGAGCCCTCACTTCGAAACAGCAGCGATGGCATTTTTTTTTTCTTTATTTTTTTTTTTTTCGTGGCGGCGCCTAATATTTTGAGCACAATCCTCTCGTAAATTGCTCAAGATGTTCCGTACCTTCATTACTGTTGTTATTTCTGTCCGTAGGCAGCCGGCTCGGAAGTCACAAACACATTTTTTTTCTCCTGCAACTTCATTGCCAGCCTTCGAGAGCCAGACGCAAACATTATTTAGGGTTTTTTTTCTCTCTCTCTTTTTTTTTTTTTTTTCTTCTTTTCCCTCTTGTTGTTCTATTTGCCACACTTTGGAAAGGTAACTGTAAAATCACTCAGTGTCCACGAGTTGTATCGCATTATACCGGAGAGCTATAAAGCTGTCTTATTCCCTGACGTTTCTTGATTAACTTATGAGCGTAAGGGAAATGCTTGAATAGTGTTCCCTCTGCGGTTTTCTTTCGGCAAGGGGAAGCCAAGGGAAGATGCTAATATTGTCATCTTATTTTACAATTTATACGGGCTGCCCAAACAATGTGTGTATAACAAACGAAGGCGCAGCGGGGTTCAGTTTCTTAAATGCAGCCTATATATTTCAGAGACCACTCTCGCCTTGATAACCGGGCTGGCCAACTATTTAGCCTTTTATTGCTGTTCAAACGCTGGCTTCCATTTAAACAAACAAAGCGACCCAGAGCTATTTGTCAATTCCTGTTAACAGGATGTCCCGGCAGCGACGGTGTGTGCTTGTGTCGTGTGTGTCCCCCCCCCAGCAGCCCCTCTGCCCTGTCTCTGCTCCCACCCTACAGAATCCCGCACCCCCCCCGCTAATAACCTGCACATGGGCCCTTGGCTTCCCCACGCAAACGCCCTCTCCTCTAGCCCGCCATGTGCTTACACTTAACTTTATCTCTAATACATGTGGATCTCTAGGCGTACGCACATAATACTATGCTGGAAACACACGGCTGGCTTTTTTTTTGTGTGTGTGTATTAAATTAAGTATTTTATTTATTTATCTTTTGAAGCTGCAGCTTCGTGAGGAATATTTAAGTCCATTAGCTGAATCAGCTGGCGAGAATCAAACCCAAACAGAAAGAACGCCCTCATTGATACTTGCAGAACTGGAAAACATTTGGAGGGGTTTTATATACACTTCGGGTCGTAAATTAATAGTTGATTTATTCTTCAATCAGGAAAAAGCCATTAAGGTTTGCTCAGCTCTGGTCTGTGGGAAAATAATTTCTTTGATTGAGGTCCCCCTAAAGACCCCCAGAAGTTTTCTCTCCTCTGTCATGAACAGTCTGCTCTTTCCTGTCTTCCGGACGGAGGGAAGAGTAGGACCTCCGGAGAAAAGCAGCTTTCCAGCATCTTGAATTTCACTTTGCATCTTTCTTCCTACCTGCTGATTTAATTTCTCTTTGCATTCGGGACCTTTCTAAATCCATCAAGAGAAAACTATGGAATAATGAGGGCGGTGTATCATCTTTTATCAGCTTTTTCTTCCTTGCTGGTGGCCAATATTGCAGCTCTGAAGGAAACAGACATTTGGGGAGGGGGGGTGCTGAGTGGTGGGAAAGCATGGCATGGAAAGAAATTCAATCTGAGGAATGAGAGGAATGGATAAAAAAAAAGGCAGGGCTGATGGCTTTTTCATTGCATAGATTTCCTACAGGAGCAGTGGTTACCGATCCCTGGTCCGCTTGTTTATTTAGTGTGTTTCTGAAATGCATGAGCTCCTAAGCTGGCCCGTACCACTGGAGCGCTCTGTGCCTCCATGGAGGAGCCCCAGACCTGGCCCACAGCCTCACTCTTACTAGAAGCTATCCAGCTCGCTGGAGGCTTCTCCACAACCCCACATCTCCCACCCACTGGCAATGATGCTAGGTACGTACCATTTAGCGACTTGCTCCCCACCCCCTCTGGTGACACATTGAACCCCAGAGACCACCAGGCTGCTGCTGCGAGGTTGGGAATTTGATATTAAAGGACCATTTGCCTTGAAGGTAATGAGAATCTCCTTCCCTTTCCCCATTCAGATTTGCAGGGCACTATTTTAGGGTTTCCCTGGCTGATGTTGATCCAGACCTCTAACCTCTGAGGCACAGGAGCTGGCAGTGCCTGGATGGGAACTCAGCATGGTGGCCATCTGTCCCCAGGAGTGATGGGGTAAGTGTGAGCTGCGTGGTCCCCGTGCCAGGAGCACACATGCTGCTGAAGCCCTGAGTCCTGTCCGGCTCTCCTTCAGTAACTGCCCTATGGACTGCTCTAAACTCGTACCTCACTGTCCCTCCTGCCCCAAATTTCAGTAGGGCCCCAAATGCTAGTTTGTCATTTTAGTCTAGGACGGGCGATGGGTCACAACAGGACGTGGTTGAACGGGAATTAGCCTGGGCACCAGTGCAACCTCACAAAGTTCCCGTTGTTAAAACTCGGGACATTAGGAGTCATCCTGAGAAATGCAGAGCACTCTTTCCTTCCATCCTCCACTTTTTGTAAAGGTTGAGGCAGACCCACCATGTAGATCCATGCTTTTGTGAGGACTTCTGCCCATGCGATGAGACTCACTGAGGTCAACAACCCAGGAACCTGCAGCGATGAAAACCCTCGTCAAGATCCATCCTGTTAAAGGTGGTAACTGAAGTCAGGGGTTTTCTGCTGGGGAAGTTTCAATGCTGGGCCCAGGTTTTACGGGGATAATGCATCATGAATCTGGCTTATTTAGGCCCAGCTTCATCCCAAGTCATTTGCCAGTTCTACTCTCTGCATAACCATGAATGAGGCAGAAGAAGAAACAGGGCAAAAAGGAAAAGCGATAGCACTGAGCTTGCTGGGGAAGAACAGATTGTGTTTTTTTAATCAATTTTTGACCTTTTTTTTTTTTTTTTTTTGGCAAGATCAAGTATTTTAAAGGCAATTTACACAAAGCACAGCAGGTAAGATTCCTTGAATGACGTTGTTTGAAAAGGCTGGTGTGGAATAGTAATCAGAAAAATGAGTCAAATGAAAGCCTAGGCTCCTCCCTGTAGGAAAGAAATGCTAAGTGAGTATTTTTCATCCATAGTTGTCTTTTTTTTAAAGCAGTTTCCTAAAATGTTCCTTATGTTACCAATAGTGGGCCTTGCATGCATTTTCTTGAGTAATTATTTGATCTGCTGTTGCACTGGAATGTTGGGTTATTTTCAGGTTTGGTTTTCCTACGACTGTCTCTAGAGCAGTGAGAGCTTTGGCCTCGGGACTAACCAGCTGTGTGCAAGAGCTGGTTCCTTGGGGTTTGGTGCCCAAAGCTGCCAAGTGTGAGTTGGAGACCGCTTCTGACAGAGGGCTGACCTGTTTCCCTCCGAAACAGTCTTGCTAAAAGTCAGGAGGCAACTCCTGTAAATAAGTAATTCTGGGAATATTTTTTTTTCTTTCAGATTTATTTTGTCCCTTGAAATGTGAGATCAATCCAAGGTGCCCGAGAGGATACTGGAGAAGGTTCATCTGAGGTAATGACCTCATCCTTTTGATGCTCGATAAGACAATGTTAGCTGAGAGAGGTAGTGATGATGAAGTGATACATACTCACTTTTTATTATGAATCTTACGATTGATTTAATTGTCTCTTACTACATGGGAACATGACATGAAAATGCAGAGGTATACCATGCCTGAGATAATACATTCCCATCCATGGGGGAGTCCTGAGAGACAATTCCTTGTAGCTCCCCTTTGCTGACTGACAGATTCAGTTTGTTCCCACACAGGCACGTGAAAGGAATCCAGCTTTCAGCTGCTACGTTTATTTTTTGTTTCCAGTGTGGATCCATTTGCTTGGTATCACTTTTTCAAAACTTAGACTTTTGGATTGCACTGTTGACATTAATGTAGGAGAGCTGAGCTTGCTCTGCTGGTGTAGATGCCCCACTGTAAGACCACAACAAAGGCTTGGGCAGCACACAGAGCACATTACAGTGAAAAGCCACCTGTTGAAATAGTAGAGGTCATGCCATTCTTCACATGTGCACAGTAAAAAAATGGAAAGATGGGTTGTCTAAGATATTTCCAAAGCCAATGGTTGTTGATATCTTGATGGAGGAACACACTCCTTCACTTCTATGCCATTGAAATACAAAATATCCATTAAAAGTGACAGACTTGAAGCCAAGGCAAACAATTTCATAAGCTAAACTCGAACACTTCTACTTGCAAATGCTGATCTTGCGATGACAGATTCATTTTTCCAGCTCCGGCAAGTTTGTTTCTACTGTAGCTGTGCTGGAAATTACCCTGCAAGTGTTTATAATCCTGTCCTACTGTGAAGGACTCCATGTAGGATGCGTTACTCAGATGAAGGAAGGACCCCATGGCTATCAACAAAGTGGGTCTGCGTAAGTATCATAGAATGGTTAGAATTGGAAGGCACCTTAAAGATTGTTGAGTTCCAACCCCCTGCCCTGGGCAGGGACACCTCCCACTAGACCAGGTTGCTCAAAGTCCCGTCCAGCCTGGCTTTGAACAGTTCCTGGGAGGAGGCATCCATAGCTTCTCAAGAAGTAGTTTTTGGGGTTTGCCTTTTGGAATTGAAAGCCCTGGTAGTCTGGGTTTCCTTCAGATTCCCAGATGTACCCTTTTATCTTCTGCTTCCCACCTTGTCTGCTCAGTCCACACTGAGTTATTCCCCCCACTGCCCACTTTCTTCTCCTGACAGAGGCTGACCTGTTTAGCTGCTGGTCTCACTGACTGGGCCAAATATGGGGGTGGATTGACCAGCAAACATTTTGTGTCCCATGTTTGGAGGAAGGTCTTTAGCTATCTGCCCTGTTCTCCCAGGGCACAGACACACAGACTCAGACCCCCAAGAAGGATGCTGTGTGGAGGATAAGAGTGTGTCTTGCTGTGAAATGTTTCATCCAGGCACACCGTCAGAGGGGAGACTCGCTCTGTAAGAGCTCAGGGTGGCCTTGAAGCTCAAGTGCAGACCATCAGTGTGGCTCACCTCATGGCTGCCAGCAACAGGGATTTGCATTAGAAGTCCCCAGCCTTTGCTGACTGTGTTTCAGAACAATTTCGATCTGTTTGGCGAAGAGCAGATGCTTATTTATTGGTGTATTCACCAACTGCTAGAGCCCTGAGATGTTCTCCTCTTCCCTGGAAACAGTGTCCCCACAGCTGGGTCTGACTGATGTTTGGTTGCTCACTGAAGCACGCAGTAACTCTCCTCCTCTCTCCCCACCAGCCACAAAACCCTGCTGCCTCTGATAATGTACTCTTTCTCTGAAAGTTTTCCAAGCCCTTGAGCAACATGGTGTAATAGATATTAGGAAACAATTTACTGCAGTGTTATCAGGTGGTAATTTCTACCCCCCCTGACCATATCCCTCACCCGGAGCTGTCTTACCGCTCCCGCTCTCTGATTATATGCGTCACACTGAGCTTTCTATTAAAAATTGACACTGAAAATAAACCAGTGGCTTTTTTACTTAGCCCCCCTGAGTCTAAAAAAGCCCAACAATCCAAATAACCAACCAAAATGCCAAACAAAAACAGATGTAGAAACCAAAAGAAAAAGGGGGAGTAGGAATACTCTTTCTATCCCTAAATAAAATACCATGGTTTTTTTATGTCTGCATATGTATGAGTGCTTGAGGAGGACAGAAAAGTCACTTTCATTAGATAGATAATGCCATTCTTAATTCCCTTGTGGGGAGCTGGAGAACCCCCTCAAAATTCTTGGGGCTGCCTTTAGCCATGGGGTGATGGGCTGATGTGCAGAGGCCGTGATGCTCAAGCATCCCACGCCTCTGTGCTTGGCCCTTTCCCCAGGGCCACTCATTCCCACCTCCAAAACATCTTATTTTTCCACTCAGGGCATTTCCCAGGCCTGTTTGCCACCGATTTGAATGCTACCCTGCCTAGAGCTGTGATGGCGAGGAGAGAGGCAATGCTCGACCACTGCTGGAGAAACAGCACCATGTGCATCATCCCCATCACCAGCTGCTCCATCACTGCTCCTGCCTCTGCTGCCGTCCCCACCGCCCCACGGTCGGGGCTGCTGGAAGGGCTGAATTCTCACAGTGGCTTTGAGAGAGACCTGAAAGGTATTCATGCCTTCTTCCACCACAGGCACCTCGTCCTGTAACTCTGAACCTCCGTTTCCTATCATTAGGTGTGGTGGGAAAAAGGGCTATTTAAATACCGGTGAAGACTGGATTCAGGATGAGGGTATGTTTTAAATTAAGGTGTGATTTTAAACTAATAAAACTAAACCTTACCAAAAGGCTTGGACACGTACTTACCTCAGTTTAAATTTGGGCCATTTAGGTTGCTCTTAAATCATACTATACATATAACTGTATTTTGACTCACTTTTAAACTAAAATAAAAATATCCAGACAGTCCTTTGCACAGCTGTTTAACAACTGTTAAATACATAAATAGACATCACGTACTAAAATACTGTGTTGATACGAGCCATATAAACAGAAGAGAGCCGAAACACAGTAGTCCTTTTACCCTGATCTAATTTTGTGTCTAGACAAGCTTTACTCAGCATCGGAGTCTGCCTCAGTGCCGCTTTCTGGTACCTGGCGAGGATACACTTCTGGTAGGTACAGCAGCATCTTGCTTCCCAATGTTAATAATTTTTTTTTTTTTAGTGGGCTGGTGTCTCTGAGAAAAAATGGCAAAAACGTTTCCAGGACTGCTGCTGGAGTCACAGGGTGTTTTTCCTGTGGGTCCGTGGGGCCCCGGCAACAGCAAGAGCCGCTGGACGGAGCGAGAAGTTTGCAGCCCTTCCAGCACTGTCAGTACCATGGTTCTGCTCGTGGCTGGTGGGATACTTTGAAGGCAAAGGGAAAGAGAAAAAGATGAGAAAGAGACGGAGGAAGGGTATAACGCTTTCCCTTTTATCTGCATTTTTCTGTGCAAAAGAATAGGACTTCTGCCAAGGCCTTTATTTATCCGTTGCTATGAAAATCACTTTGTGTCCTAGTTTCAGCAGCGTTAATATATTTTTTTTTCAGTAAGTGATTATGTTTTATGACCAGTTTAGACTTATATGGAGGTGCGGTAATATGCTATAAAACTCTACACCATAAGCTGTATACAGGACATATCAACTAGTCTAAAGTGATTACATTAATAAGAAAAGAGCCAATCCTTCTTACGGTTCCATGTTGCAGCAGATGAGCTCACTGCTCCTGAGGAAGACATTAAATCATGTTTGTGTAGAAGGTAGAGGGACTCGTTACGCGACTACTGTTTCCAGAAAATATGATGCAGATACAGAGCTAGATCCAAGTATGGAAATTGGCTGCTGGGCCCCTCAGGCTCTCTGGCAACCCTGTGCTATGGAGGAAGAAGACACAGCTGCTCCAGCTATCGCTGGAAAAGATGACAGTGAAGGGAATTGAGCTTTGCAAAGGGGTCCAGGTCCCCGTGAAGGAGCTGTGGAGCCTGGGGTCGGTGTCGTCAGGGAAAGCTGCGGTGTCACCAGATGTGGCAGTGAGCCGAGTCCCTCATCTGGCCGGCGCTGAGGCAGAGGAGACCTTTGCTGGGGGCTTTGAGAGGGGACCCACTCACCCCATCCACAAACATCTACCTGTGCTCTCCCCGTGCCTGGCATTCCTTGACCAGGGCAGGAGATACCAGCCTTCATGGTCAGGCTGGTCGTGACAAATCTGTACAGATACAATAAATAAATGTGACTGAGTTTTGCAGTTCAAACAAGCTACGAGGAGCCACCACAAATCAGCTTGTCATGTCGCCACCAGCTTTACAATCAATCTCCCACAAAGGGCTTAGGCTCTGACTCCTTTCTTCAGTTTGCTTATTTTTGTGGGCTAGCTGGCTGCAAGGGAGGCACTAAAAGATGACTGGACTCAGACCTCTCTGTTTTAAAAGGAGCAAAACACTCTTACTCTTCAGCAGTAGAGCCCACTTGGAAAAAAAAAAAAAGGGATGAGAAGAAAAGCAAACAAAAGCCATCCACCTCTGCGCTAATGATTTGGGTCTGGGCCCAACAGTCAGAAAAGCAGGTTAGAAAATGCTGCTGGAGCAGTTGTGTACTACTATAATAAATGAAGCCCATTCAAAAGGTTTGTACTCTCTGAATGCCGTGCAGTTAATCCCCATCCCATGGTTAAAATCAGCTTTTGGACTCCCTTACTGCAACCTCTTTTCCTTCCTGCTCCAGCCCAATGGCCTGCTTTCCCCTGAGGATGCTCTCATGAAGGAGATTCACCGACCCCTTGTGACAGGCTTGGCTCAGAAATTAAGGATTTTCCCCCAGAAAAAGGGCTCCATGTGGCTTCTGGTGGGCTTGAGCTCAGTTCCTGGTGGTGTCAACCTCAGCTTTTGGGCTGGGGTGGTGTGAGGCTGAAGGACGTTCTCACAGCACAGGGAGAGGGACTCTGGAAGTGCTGGGCTGAGATCTCCTCTTGGTCCTGCTGGCAGCTTTGGCTGGTTTACCCTTCCCATATTGATGGGGTCAGAGGGGCTCACCTCCTCTAGCTTTGACTGGCCAAGAGGGCCCTCTGCACTCAGTGGGGACAATGGGGTACCCCATCCCACCCCCATGAGTGCCTGCTCAGGCATTTTTTGAGATTTCTACCCTAAATGCTTTGGAGAAGGGACTCCTCTTTTGGGTGCAGGGACACCTTGTTGAGCTGAACAGGACCTTTGGTTTCGATGGCTAACGTGAGCGTAGCCACAACAACGAAAACGAGAAGAACTTAGAAATAAGGCATCCAACTAGAGCATTGTGCAGGAACAGCACAACCTCTTTTGCTTTTACCTTTCCTGCTGTTCTGAACTGGGCTAATGGTTTCCATGTTTTTTCCACAATGACTCCCAAATGTTTTTTCCTGATCAGCACGCTGAATGGCTGTTTCATTTAGCACATAATCATTAGCTTCACTCCTTGCTACCAGACACGTTATTTTGCTTGTGCCTTCACTGAAAGGCATTTGCCATCTGCTGATTCACTTATAACAATATTGGTGTTGCAATATTGCTAATAATAATAATAATAACAATAATAGTAATGATACTAGGAGCTGGGACTGTTTAGTTTGAGGAAGAGGAGGCTGAGGGGAGACCTCATCACTCTCTACAACTACTTGACATTGTAGAGAGGTTGGTGCTGGTCTCTTCTCACAGGTAATTAGTGATGGAACAAGAGGGAATGGCTTCAAGCTGCAACAGGGTAGGTTTAGACTGGACATTAGGAAAAAATTCTTCACAGAAAGAGTGGTCAGACAATGGAATAGGCTGCCCAGGGAGGTGGTTGAGTCACCATCCCTGAATGTGTTTAAGAGTCGTTTAGATGTGGTGTTGGGGGATATGGTGTAGGGGAGA